TTATATTATACGGCGAGCTTTATGATAATGATTACAGTAGTTATTTTTTTTGCAACAAAAACTTTGTCGGCTATACTGTATATATAAAATATAATAATGTTTAGATGGCACGAAACTCTTCGTAATAGTTTAAGCCAATTACATGAAGTATAAGAATGTTTTATTCATGGTAGAACGTAAATGGGGGTAAAAGATATGGATTTGTAAGTAATAGTAGTTTTTTTTTTTTTTTTTATATTGATAATATAATAATTTGATGAAAAAAATGAAAAAAAATAAGAAAAAAAAGATTAACAAAAAATAGCAAAAAAAAAATTGATTTTTATAAACTTAGTTTTGTGAGCCTTCGCCTCCAGGATTTTGAGAAGTTTGAGAAGTTTGAGGTGTTTGAGGTGTTTGTTGAGTAGACATGTTTGGAATGGGGTTGGTTCTAAAGCTGTGGAGAGGGTTTGAGGGACAAACGTTGGATCCATATTAGACAAGGTATTGCGTCCTTTTTTTGGAGTCTTCGGAGCGGCACTCTGTGGCTGACGATTCGCTCTTGCATAGCCTGGGATACTTGATTGGGATAGCCATGGCGGAGTAATTGATTGGGCGGATGAATCATTGCGATTTGAGGTGATTAAGGAAATGTCTTCCAAGATGATTACATGCTTTCCTGTAGATATTTTGTAGGTAATGGTACCAATAAGGATTGCGGTGGTTGAACGGGAATTTTGGTTTATTGCGTTTGTTTTATTGGAGAGATATTTATTGTTAATATTATGCCTAGCTTCAACCCAGAAGCTAGGTGGTTCGCGGTCTCCGACTTTTTCCTCGACGTAGAACTCAAGAATTAAGTCATTTTCGATGTTTTTGACCGTCTGGTTGGTGATACCAACGATGACCGAGTTTATGCCTAATACAGGCATATCATCAAATTCAAAGTTTATGACTTTGATAGAAGTTGCGGTGACCTTAGTATAAGATTTAAAAAGTAGGGTTGATTTACTGGAGGAAAAAAAAAAAAAAAAAAAAAAAAAAAAAAAAGATATATTATACTATGTAAAAATTTT